TCTGCTGACTTTGCAAAAACCGCAGGACCCTCCCTGTACCTGGGACTTGAGTTCCAGACCCAGCTTGCAGGGTGGCTTTGGCCAAGTCATCTAACCTTTCAAGAAATTCGTTCTCTCTCTCCACTAAGGTGGGGATAATGTCCCATTGTCCTATCAGAGTTATTGTGAAAAACGAACAAGAGGGCTCATGAACACAAACCATGAGGTCCTCCACACATACCCAGTGCAAGCTTCTCAGCAAAGGAACCTCTCCTCCCTACACCTACTGGGCAACCCAGCTCCTGAGGTGCCCGGGAGCCCAGCTCAGGCACAGTGAGGAGACAAAGGACCTGCCAGGTCTCTAGGAAGGGACTAAGTGACCACTTAGTGCCACCTAGCGGTCTTCCGTGCGTGGTGCTTGGGGATTGGGAGGGCCTAATTACGCTGGGATTGGGGGGCTCTGAGCATGACCCTTGGCCCTGTGGAGGTAGGCAAAATATGCCAGGACCTCAGGAAAGATGAATCATGCCTAGCCAACCCTCCCCCGGGTACCCCCCCCCGAGGGCAGGGTGCCGGTGGGCACTCCATCGGTGGGCCATCTCAGCCCCACAATTTATTTCCTCTGGACAGCTCCAGGAAGACAGTGGAGCAGGGCCTGGGGGGTTCTAGTTCCAGTGCCTGGCTCAGCTACCTCCTCTGTGAAATCAGAGTAAACATCCCTGCCTTTCAGGGGACTCGTTCTTTCATTTATCAAACATTTTATAAACTATCTCCTTTCTGAAGTCATCGTGCGGAGTGCCATGGGGACACAAAGACATCTAAGCCAGGTCTCTTGGTCCCAAGGGCTCCGGCTCATTCTAGGAGACAGACAGAACTGTAAATTGCTAATTACCATCCGAGGCAAGTCAGGCACAGGAGACAAGTGGGGGGCCAGCAGGAAGTGGGACTCACAGGAGCCCTTCTCGCCCCGCAGACGGGTTCTACCCGCCCCTCCCCATGTTGAGCACCCTCAGGAATATGCCTGACTCCCCCAACTGCCATTTGTCTTGCTTTCGAGTCTAATAAAGCAGAACCTCAAGCTAGATCTTTCACACCTCTGTGCCTTTGTACTACGCAGTTCCCTTTTCCTAAATGCCTTTCGCCAATTTGTCCACCAGCTAACTTCTGTCCAGCCTTCCTGTGGAGAGTGGAGGGGAGAAGAATGGGAAATCCCCATGACTGGGCCACCAGAGAGGAGGCAGAAGGCCAGGGTCTCCCGAGCAGTGGCACAGGCATCCCCATCCCCAGGGCAGAGTGCTCAGGCAGGTGGGAAGCCCTATGGTCCCCTAACTGCAGGCTCCCTGCATTCTCTCATTGCGTTATTCATTCCATGCTGTTGGCCTGCCCCAGGTGCACAGTCTGCAAGAAGCAGGGGCCTCAGTCCTGTTCTGAAGAGCTTTCTGGTGCAGGAGGAAGACCCACAGGCAAGGACCACACAACACATGTGCACAGAGACTGGAACCATTCTTCTAGAAAAGGGCAGGGTTAGATCCTGGGAACAGAGGTGATGTTTGAGGTGAGTCATGAGGGGTTAATCTGGGCATTTCAGGCTAGAAACATGTAGCCCAAGTCAGGGAGGTGTGCAGGGGGAAGGCACCTACTTCGCAGTCCCTTTCTCCCACCTCTAAGCGAGCTCTCCTCACCCATGGGTACTCTCTTATTATTTGATCATTTAGCTTGTTATTTGCTGGCTTGTTTATAATCAGTCTCTCTCTATTCACTATAGGTATCCCAGGGCCATGTCACTTTGGTTTACTGGGGGGGGGGGGGTTCTCCAGTGTCTAGCCCAGCACCTGGAACATTAGAGGCTCTCAATAAATATTTGTGGATTAAACCCATGAATGAACACACAGAATGGGCAGGAAGTCTCTTTTATCCCAGAATGACAGTGATTACTGGAGATATTTTCTCTTTGTTCTGCCCATACTTAATCCATCCACCCCTGCCCCCATTATTCTAAGCAGGGTCATGAGGCCTTTGTACTTCTTTGCCTCAAGTCCAGCGGCTACCTGAGAATACGCTTCTCTGGCTTTTGCTTCCAGTTCCTTCAGGGGACTATGGTAGGGGGAAGGAGAGGCAGAGAGAGGTGGGTCCCCAAGACTAAGGAGGGATGAGTGATCAGAGGGTCCTCTGGGAGCACCACAAAGAGGTGGCAGGGCTCCAGAGGGCAGAGAGGGAGATCCCTGGAGAGGCTGTGACCTTTCCCCAACCCTTACATTTCCCTAGGGCCGGGGTAGAGTTAAGACCTATGGAATCTTGTCACTGGGGGTGTCTGCAGCCACCATGAGGCCATGGACAGGAGAGGCCTGCTCTTGCAAGCCCTACTCCCTGCCTGTGCGACCCTAGAGATGGGTGGGGAGCCCTCAAATGTGACTGAGATGGGGTTTCCCTACACCCCCAGGGATCCAGGTATAAAGTTAGATTAAATAAGATGTCAAGGAACTGTGAGGTTCTTTGCACGTGCCCCTCACATGATCTGGCCTGAGAGCAACTCCTCCTCACAGGGGACACGGGTGCCTTTCTCTGGAGCCTTCTGGAGAGCATCCTCACAACAAGAAGGGATTGCTAAGGTCAGGACTTCTGGTATACAGGCAGTCCCATGAGGAAGACATCTTTAAACAGGGAAAGTCCATATGAGACCAGGGAAAGCTGAAATCAGTCCTTGGGTGAGGGGAAGAAGCTGGAGGTGGTGGGGCGTGGCTCAGCAGTGTGTGTAGAGGGCAGGATCAGAGAGGAGAGTCTGGGAGGGGAGAGGAGAGGATGCAGAAGAAATAATAGTATCACCAGGACCTTCAAACATCTTCTACAGCCTGGCTCTATGGGATGATGGGAGATTCCTCTCTGGGCAAAAGCCCTGGTCTCTCTTGCACCTTGGTGGCATATTCAGCCTCCTGCTAGGGAGCTGCAGGACCCGTACAGGAGAGCAAGCTCAACCAGTCACATCCCCGCACCTGCCTTTAGGTGTGGACCGTGAAGCAAGGAGGCAGAAGAGTACAGGACTCCCTCCCCGATGGCCATGCCTGTGTCTGGGGGTGGCCACAGAGCTCCCCCCAGCCAGCTCTTCCCAACTCCACTCCTGCCATTCGTTCTAGCCTCCCTGGTTCCCACTTGTAGCCAAGCCTGGGTTTGGGCTTCCTATCAGTTCTTCGAGCTAGCCTTCCATTACCTTCCTTTCCTGCTTGTTATCTTGAGTCAGGTTCTTCTGTTTCCATCCAAAGGGTGCAGAGCTGCTAGGAAGCCCAAGACAATGCTATCTGTGCTGAACTGGATGGTCGCCAAACTGTGTTAACTGGAAGGAGTGAAAAAAGCGAGGTGCAACCAGACTGTAGGCCCCTTGTAGGGAAGGGCCCTGGTCAGCCCTGCTCACAGCTGGATCCACGAGGACTATGACATATGGGCAGATGGGAAACAGACTTTCAGATGGCACCACATTGAAGGGCCTCCATGGTTGCCCACTTGTTGGGTGGGGGGTCAACCTGATGGGCTTGGCTTCTCCTAGAGAGTGTCTTCTATTTGGGGCAGAGAAAAGGGTTCAAGCTACAGAAAAACAATCAACTCCTCAAGATCAGGAAGAGTGGTGACAAGAGTGACAAGAGGGAGACAGGCAGGGGTCATCCAGGGGCGAGGCCGGCACCCCCCGAGCCTCCACACCTTGTCTGCCAAAGGATATAGGAACCAGACGATGCTGTGCTCTGCAGACCTCATGGTGATAATCATTAGTGATCGTGCATGTTACTGACAGCTCCTGACCGAGCTCCTGCCACGTGGCTGGCCTTTCTCTGACAACCCTACATGAAGTCACAGTTACCACCTGCACTTTATAGATGAGGAAACCCCCAGAGAGGTTGTGTAACATGCCTAAAGCCACACAGCCAGGGAGTGGCAAAATGAGGTGGAAAGCCACGTCTGTCCCCTGACCATCAAAGTCTCCACAGGCTGTAGCCCTGCCTCCTCCATGAAGCCCACAGGGAACAGCTGAGGCCCTGTAGCCCCTCTGAAACACCACAGCACAGAGCCACCTTATCCACGGTCCCCACTCCTTGAGCACCTGCTCTGTGTGCTGGGGCCTCTGCTGGCCTCTGGAAGACACGAATAAATGCCCTCAAATGCCCAGATTTCATGTCTTCCTGCCACCAGCATGGTTTCACTCCTCCTACCATTATCGATTTAACATTTAAAATACATTTCACTCATAACCAGGGAACCTGGTTTTAGCCAAAACTGCAAGGGCCCCTAAACAATTTCCATCAGACCCTTTGATCAACTGAAGCTAGGTTTGTGTATGTGTGTGTATGTGTGTGTGTGTGTGTGTGTGTGTGTGTGTTTATAAGATTTTATGTATCTAGGGGCGCCTGGGTGGCTCAGTCGTTGGGTGTCTGTCTTCGGCTCAGGTCATGATCCCAGGGTCCTGGGATCGAGACCCGCATCGGGCTCCCTGCTCAGCGGGAAGCCTGCTTCTCCCTCTCCCGCTCCCCCTGCTTGTGTTCCCTCTCTCACTGTGTCTCTCTCTCTCTCTGTCAAATAAATAAAAAGATTTTATTTATTAGACAGAGAGAGAGAGAGCACAAGCAGGGAGAGCGGGAGAGGGAGAAGCAGACTCCCCGCTGAGCAGGGAGCCTGATGCAAGACTCAATCCCAGGACCCTGGGTCATGACCTGAGCCGAGGGCAGACGCTTAACCAACTGAGCCACCCCGGCTCCCCATCTGAAGCTACTTTGTTGATGATCCCTTCCCCATCACAACGTTCAAGCTGGAGCCCCAGCCAGCAAGGCACAAAGTGAGAAAGTTACGACCAAGATCCCAGCATTCAGATGTTGTGACAGGCCCATTTCCGGCCATGTGAATTCTCTGTGTCCTTGTCTGACCCCTGGGCAACAGTGATTCACCTTGTCATTTCATTATGAGTCACCAATCTCGGGTAACTCAGCTTTCCAAATAACCAGTGATCCTAACAAAAGCTCACGTAAGGGTGTCGTGATGTAAGCACCTCTGTGTGCATCCATGGGGGAGAGGGCCCTGGCCACAGATGTAGCCCATACCCCAGGCAGGGATGCCTTCTTAAAGAGAGAAAACTCAACTCACAGTCCTCATACAATTCACAAGTTTATTTGTCCTAAATAAATATATTTCTGAGAACATCCATCTCAATACCCCTAAATACTATTTCTTCTCCAAAAAAGGAGCTTAAGATACAGGCACATGGTTTGCATTGTGTGTTGTCAGGTTAGGCTCAGGAGGGGGTTTGTCCTGGCCTGTGCTAGCCTGGGCCTAGCTCTGACAAGAACCCCAGGTTCCCTTCTCTGTTTGGGGCCTGTACTTGGCCTGAGTCTCCCAGTCCAGGGCTCCTATAGCCTGTTCCTGCTCCTGGAGTACCTGTCTTCACTGCCTCTCCCCTCTGCAGCCCAAAGAGAGCAGCATTCACAACCGTGTGGCCCTGGGCCAGCCCTCACAGATAGCTTTGTTCCAGAACACCAGGTGCCACCATAGGCCCTTTCCCAACTGGCCCAGCAAGGGTTACTCCTGTCCCTGGAAGCAGCTCACCCAGGGCAAGGGGAGAAACTGAGGCACAGCTGGCAAACAGGTAGGAAGTGCTCTCCCTTGTACCCTGCCAGGAGGCTGAGAGCCCTAAAGAATGCAGAAAGAGACACTAGCTTATCCTCCCCCAGTTGTCTCCAGGGGCCTTGGCCCACTAGGCAAGAGGAAGGGGAGACCACCGTTTGTCTTCTCTTTGAGGCTCAAAGGTTTGGGTCCTCATTCTCCTGGTCTGAGGCTGCCTCATCATCATTTGGAGACTTCTGGATCAGAGACAGAAACACCCAGTCAAGGACTCATGCTGTCCCCGGGGCCACAGCCTCGGGGCCAGCATCTCCTTCCTCTTGCCCCTGCTCCCAACAGAGCCAGAAGAGGCTCTGCCACCCCTATCCCACAGTGCCTTGGCCTTCCCTCTGTCCTAGCTCCCAGGCTTCCCACTCCATATGACCCACCATCAGGGGACTCCCTCTTACCAGGCTGAGGCCCCTATCCCTCCGCAGGGCGGCGTAGAAGCTCAGCACACGGGGGTCACAGCGAACCACAATGGGATCAAAGTCCAGCACACGCAGGCCCTGCAGGCTGCGGGCCCGGGACAGGGCCACATAGGCCTGGCCACTGGCAAACACACGGCCCAGAGAGATCTCCACGCAATCCAGGGTCATGCCCTGAGGGAATGGGGGGACAGAGCTAGAGCCAGCTCAGCCTGCAATCCCTATGTGCAAGAGCCTGACCTCACCTACAGTGGCCCGGCGACTGCCCCTGGATCTCTTCAGCCAGTACGGAGATTCTCAAGGCAGAGAGACAGATTGACAACAACCGGGTGTCTGAGTAGGAGGAGGTCCAGGAGATACAGATTGAGGATTAGAATAGAGGGATGGGGGTGAAAGGAAAGAGCTCAGGCCCGGGTCAGACAGGCATGGAAATGAATCCTGGCTCTGTCTCTCAGTCTCTATGTGACCTTGGACAACTTACTTAACCACTCTGAGCTTTGGTTTCCCCTTCTATAAAACAGGACCGATTATCACATCTATACCTCACACAGTTGTCAGGATTAAATTTAACATCTGGTAGTGGCTCAAGAAATGGCAAGAAAGGAGATGACAGAGGGATGAATATGTGTCTGGGAAAGGGAGAGGAAGCAGGATGGGAAATGTGCAAAAGAAAGGCTAATTCTACCCCTGGTCTGGAACTTTCCAACCAGGGCAAGCTCAACCTTCACAAGGCCTTTAAGAACCTCCTTCAATAAGGCCCAGGCCTATTCTGTCCCCCGTCTGCCCTGCCCTGTCCCCTGCACTCGCTGCTTACCTGGCTCTTGTGGATGGATATTGCCCAGGCCAGCTGGAGGGGCAGCTGCTGCCGGCTGAGGAGCTGGCCCCCAGTGGCCTGCACTGTCCAGCGGTCAGCACGGATGACCTCGGTGACTCCACAGAGGAACCGTACCTGGGGCAGCCCTGAGGGAGGAGTGGAGAAGTCCCACCTTTTGGCCCTGCTTCAGGGCTCAGAGGTGAGGAGCAGGCCTTACCCCTCCATCCCAGCCTTCTTTTTTTTTTTTTTTAAGATTTTATTTCTTTATTTGACACAGAGAGAGAGACACAGTGAGAGAGGGAACACAAGCAGGGGGAGCGGGAGAGGGAGAAGCAGGCTTCCCGCCGGGCAGGGAGCCCGATGTGGGGCTCGATCCCAGGACCCTGGGACCATGACCTGAGCCGAAGGCAGACGCTTAATGACTGAGCCGCCCAGGTGCCCCCATCCTAGCCTTCTCCTCACACATACCCCAGGGCCTGCTGCAAACCCAAGCAGTAGGACTGATCTCCCATCATTTACCTCTCCCCTCTGTCTCGAACCCAACGACCACCCCCCGGGCGCCATTCACTAGGCCCCGGGACACTGCTAAGTTCTTCACCAACATCACCTGCAAGGGAAAGTGAACTTGAGGCATGCCGAGCAGCCCATTCCAACACCTGGCCTCAGCTCCAGCAGTCGCTGGGGGCAGTTCCAGGAGGCTGGGGGCACTCCTGGAGAGGTACTGAATCCTAATCCTTAACTCTGTCACCGGCTGACTGTGACCCCTGTGGCAAGATGCTTTATTTTCCCCGGTCTCAGTTGCCCCTAGTGTCAAAGGGGAATGACATTTGCTGTTTGCCTCAGGAGGGGGTAAGGAGCAATAAGGTAATGGACATCACAGGGTTCTGAAAATGATCGTGTCTGTTATGGGGTATGTGTATGGGCCAAAATCGTGAGGGATAGCTCCAGGTCCTGTCACCCCTCTTCCAGCCCTCAAGTGCCTTTCAGAACCTGAGGAAAGTCTCCCATTTGGCCCACCCCAACATCATGGGAAGAAGCAGGGCTCTCTCACACGACACAGACGTGGAAACTGAGCTTCAGCAAGGGAAAGGGGCTTATCCAAAGCATTGCTGTTGGTGCCCCAGGCCTAGCAAGAAGAGGGCAGTGAGAGGCTGAAGTCAGGAAGGTGGGTGGAAGCAGGAGGGAGGGAGTTCACTGGGGTCACAGTTGGGCCCTCTGGCTATGGAGCTGCCTGGGCTGAAGGGCAAGGACTGGGGAAGCCCAGGCCCCCCAGGTCTTGGCTCTGCTTCCCACTCACCTGGGCCCCCAGCTTGAGTTGAAGGATCTGGCTAACGGGACACTGGGCATCCAGGATCCGGGCTTGCTCAGGGTCACTGTCCATGGCCTTAAAGCTGTGTACCTCACCTAGGAAAGAAAAGTTGGGCAAACAGATTACAAGTCACTAACTTGTGGCTCAGTTTCCAAAACCATGTATTAGACCAGGGTGTAGAAGGCGGTAGTGGGGACAGCTCAGGCAAGCTGGGGCTTTGGAATCAGGGGCCTGGGTTCAAGTCTTACTTCCAGTATTTACTGGCTCACTGACCTTGACCTACTCAAGATCATGCCTCTCAAAGTCACAGTTACATCTGCAAATGTAAGGGCCTTTATGGCCAGAGAGGTGGGGGCCTAAATATCCAAATGGCCCCAAGAGCCCAGGCTGTTGGGTGGGGGTGGGGGACCCATACCTGTCTGATGGCCCCTCCCAGCTGGTTTTGACCAGCCCTGGCTCCCTGTTCACCTGGCAGTTCCTGCAGTCGCCTCCTGTTGGTGAGGGCCACGTCATCCTGATGAGTGCAGAGCCTTGTGGCCACAATCCCATCTCGCTCCACCTTGTGGGAAGCTGTGGCCTGGAGCTGGCGGGTCACTTCTTCTGAGCACCTGTAGGAGCTGGGCTGTCAGGGCAGAGCCCACCTGAACACCAGGGAAGGTGGGGCACCTGGCTGATACGGCCCCAGCAGTAGGCCATGCGTCAGACTTGGGGATTAGAAAGGGGCACCAGGGCAAAATGTGCTGCCCCCCAGGCTGACCAACTGGCCTTTCCCCACTCGGACCCCAGACATGGGGAATGATCATGAGCAGGCACCCTTCCCTGTGACTGCCCCCAGGTAGGAGCTAGCCACCCTCCCATCCCAGTGCTCCTGAGGAAGTCGGATATGATGAGTGAGCACAGGCTAGAGGTTCAGAGGGCCTGGACAAGGCACTGATGTTGATACCCTGTCATACGGGTAGCCTGTAATCAGACTGGCCTCCAGGCTACACTCTTTTAGCCTCTGGCTTGCTGCCTTGGGAGCAAAAATCTAGCCTGTTTCTTTTTCTTTCTTTTTAAAGTTTGTTTGATTATTTTTATTTAAATTCAATTAGCCCATGTATAGTACATCATGAGTTTTTTGATATAATGTTCAATGATTTTTTTTTTTAAGTAATCTCTACACCCAATGTGGGGCTCAAACTCCCGGCCCCAAGATCAAGACCCGCTTGCTTCACCGACTGAGCCAGCCAGGCGCCCCTAGCCTGTGTTTCTGTCTCAAGCCTTCGTCAACATGGAGAAGCCTGGGTGCAACAGCAAATCACGTGGGAGAAGGGGAAACAACTTGAGACCTGCATCTCTCTCTGCTCTGCCATTCAATCTTCCTCTTGTTCCCCACAGATGCTGGTGTGTGCGATGTACCTTCCTACCTGCCTCATATGTCTGTGACAGGGGTCCCTAAGCATAGAAAGCCCCTCACTACCACCACCTCCTCCCCCCAACCTGTCCCAAGCTGGTTTTCAAGGCCCAGCTCTGGCCCATGTCTTCTGCCTTCCTGGCCTCCTGCCTGCTCGCACATGAGTCGTCCTGGCATTTCAACCTTTCGTCCTAGCTGGGGTGGGATTGTGCCTGCAACCTCTCTCCCTCACCAAGTGACCCCCACAGGCTCTCTAAGAGTGGGAGGAACTTGGGTTTTAGAGTCAGGCCAGGTTCAAATCCCAGCCCAGTCACTTACTGGCTGGAACTTGGGGCAAGTCACTTCACCTCTTTGAACCCCCCGTTTCTGCATCTGTGAAATAGGAGCATTAACATCTCTGATTTCTTCTTGCGTATCCATGTGTCCATACTTCTGTGACATCTGGTCTGTGCCAGGGCCTGTGCTGGGTGATGCGGACCCAACCTTGCAGGAGGCAGGGTTCCAGTGCTTAGAGAATGACCATCTTCTACGGGGCCATGAGGCACTTTTCCCCCTTCTCTGTTCACAGGGGCCCACCTTCCCAGCCTGACAGCCTGCAGCAGAGAGATGAAGATCTGGTCGGCCTGCCTCCACACCTCGGTCAGCTCCAGGGTCACTGGGACACACCTTCTCCAGGTCTTGGCCTGGTGGGGGCAGGGTAGGGGTTTCAGGGAGAAGAGCAGACACCTGTGGGGGGCAGGGCCAGAGGGCGAGTGATACCTGAAAGCAGAACTTCGGGGGCTGGGAGCCCTTGGTTACAGGCGGCAGCTGCAGGAAGTCCCCACAGATGATAAGCTGGATCCCTCCAAATGGCTTGTCCTGCTGCCGGACAGCTCTGGAGAAGAGCACGGGGTACTTTAGCAGCTGGGGTGGCCAAGTTCCATATGGAAAACCACCAGAACCCAGCCCTTACTGCATATACTGACCTGGCCACCGCTTCCAGCTTGTCAAACAGGTCCGCCTCCACCATGGAGATCTCATCGATGACTAGCCGCTGGCAGTTCAGCCAGCCCTGCCGCACGGCTGGCCGCTGGGCCAGGGCCACACACTGCGCCAGGGGAGCCCGGCCTGAGCCGATGCCTGTGAGTGACACTACTCAGCCTAAGACCCTAGCCCCGACCCAGCCCTGACCCCCTCTTCCGTCTCACAGGCCTGGCTGGCTTCCAGCTCAAGCCCTAGAGGTCCCCACTTACCTGCAAAGGCATGGAGGGTGGTCCCCCCGATGTGGCAAGCTGCCACCCCAGTGCTGGCAGTAGCCACAGTACCTGTGGGAGGCAGTGAGCCCAGGATCCGCTTCAGCAGATAAGACTTCCCTGTCCCTGGGCAGAGCGTAAAGTCAGGGTCACCTCCTCCATCCTACCCCATCACTGTTCCCCCACCCCCCACGCTGCCCCCCCACTACCTGCACTCCCAGTGAAGAAGATGCTCTGGCCTTTCAGGACAACCCTCAGCACCGCAGCCTGTTCCTTAGAAAGCTGTGGTTTGGTGGGGGGCAAGCTCAGCCTCTTCACAGGCAAGGCCCACCTTGGGGCTTCCTGTGGGGGGACAGGACTGTCTCAGGGCTTCCTAGCCTGCGTGCCATGCTAGGCCTGGGAGCCCTTTGTTTCTCTGCTGGTTTCACTCCTTGAAGCCCGTGGGCGGCTTTGGTTTCCCTTGGAGATCTTACCAGTAACTACTCCGGGCCAGGTCTGTCCTTGAGGAAGGAAGGGCTCAAGGCTGGGTCTCCAATGATCCCTGGTGCCCTGGTGACTACACTATGTGGGTCTGGATCCTCCCTCAGCTCCCTCCCCTGGTTTCCCTAAATCTGGTTCTTTCACAGGTCCTTCCTTCTCACTACTCTTCCTGGCACAAATCTGCCTGTCTCACAGCAAAACCCTGCCTGGCTCCATCTCCATCTTCTCCCCAGCTGAGTCTCAAACCCCGTGGTCTGTGATCCACCTGCCCCAGTTCATAAACACTGTCAGACCTTCCAGACTTTGTCCCCCCCAACTGCTCAGAACTGTTGGCTGCCCCTGATCCTGCTGGCCACTTCTCTCCAAAAGCTCCCCTCCTTCTCCAGGCCCAACAGCCTCCTACTTTTTCTTCTGAAGTCACCTTCTCTACTTTCCCCTTTACCGTGAAGTGGGCCCTCTTCCTATTCTAGCTTACTCAGGGATTGCACTCTGGAGAAACACTGCACAATTCCCACATCCCTGTCACACTCAGATGTCCGACGGGCATCTCCTCTGAGCTAACCAGCAACCCCCTAAACTTGGGCCTCCTGGGTCTCTTCCATCTCAGGGGCACACCCACTCCCTGAGGCCGTCCCCCCTTTCCTGTCCTCACAGTGCTGGGCTCGGCTCCCGCCCGGGGTTCCACCGGCCGCTTCACGGGCGTGGCGCGCGGGACCCGGGTGGCCACCGCGCGCCGCAGCTCCTCGGGCTGCACGGGGCTGATGGTGACAAAGTCGCGGGGCCGCGGGCCAAGCAGCTGCGCGCGGGCGGAGGCCGGCCCCGGCCCGGGGGCCGCGGCCAGCTTGAGGCGCAGCGTGCGCAGGAAGCGTCGCAGGCGGTCGGGGGGGCAGTCGGAGAGCAGCAGCTGCACAGCGCCCGCCCCGGGAACGCCGTCGGTGGGGAGCCGCAGCGTGCTGCGTCCGGCCGCCGCGAAGCGCGTGAAGAGGCGCGCGGCCCGCAGAGGGAAGCAGCGCGGCCGGCCCGCGGGTCCAGCCGCCTGCAGCCGCAGCAGCAACTCGCGGCGCTCATTCCGCCCCAGGCTCAGCGCCGCCGTGCGTAAGGCCTGGCGCTTTCGCGGCTGCCCGCCCGGGCTCAACTCCTCCACAGCCACGCGGCACCGCAGCTCCGCGTCCTCCAATTCCGCTGGCGCTGCCTGGGTGCCCGACAGCATCGTCACCGCCTCCGGCAGATCTGCAAAAAGCCCCGAGCGCAGGGGTCACGAGGACTCAGTGGACCTAATCGGGAGCCCGGTCAAGGCCACATAGGGTCACGGAGGCTGTCACTAGGACCAAAAAGAGGTCACGCAGACGGCAAAAGGGACCTGGGACCAACCGAAATTCACGTAGACCTTACTCTCCTACACGGTAATTTCCAGAGCGGTGGATGGGCAGCGTCAAATGCACCCAGGAATGGGGAGCCTCAGCTGTCCGACCAGAGCCGCGGAGGCAGGCTCCTGACCAAAAAAAGGAGGCTGATTCCAAGAAGCCCAGGGCAGGCAAGGGAATCCTCAGAGTCCTCTCCCAAGGAAGCAGGGGAAGCTCAAGTGGAGAGATGAGCAGGGGACCTTCTGTCTTCCAGATAGCCCAGTGGTTTATATGCTGCCAGGTCAATCTCACTATTACCCGTGTACAGAAGTGGAAACAGACTGGGAGAGGTTACAACGACTGGTAGGAGTCAGGGTTAGTGTGATTTCCAAGCCCTGACTCTTCCCATCTCCAAGATGGGCACTGGGTGGAGAATATTTGGCTAGGGAAATCGCCGGGGACCCTGGGGCTCGGGAATCCATGTTTCCTCCGTCTGACCCACTCGTCTGCACCCTCCCGGCAGAGACCCTTTGAAAAAGCAGACTCTCTGTCTCCTACCTCTGGGGTCGCGTGGACACTCACTCGCACCGGCGCCCGGACGAACACGCTGAACAGAGCCGGCCAGCTAGTGAACCTCGGGCAGTACAAACTTTCAAATACTAGAAGTAGAAAATCACCCTATAACCGGCCGGATCTTTAAATTCTCCAGCCAATCAGAGACAGGGGCGTGACAACGGGCGTGTCTTTCGTTGGGTTCAAACTCGTCGAGCTTGGGCGGTACCAATCGCGCGGCGGTGAAAGGAGTCTTACTGTGGTGGAAAAGCGTACCAAATCTCGTGCACCAGTGGGCTAGGTGGGAAGGGGCGGAGCTCGGCCACGCGTGGTGTTGTGTCACCCAATGCGGCTTGAAGATTGGTTTTTAGAACTCTGCCTTCAACACACTTTTTCTCGGCTCGAGCCCTCACTGCGGCTCAACTTGGCCTTTGGAAAGAGGGGCCTCTGATCCCTCCCACCGTGTTTACCTTCACTTGGCGGTTGCCCACTCCTGGGCCGACTACCCCAAGGCCTGCAGCTTCCGTTGCCTAAGCGCCCCGCCCCCGCCCCCGCCCCCCGCTACTCTTTCCACCCTTCTCTGCCTCTGTAAGGGTCATTTTACACATTTGTCTCCCAGCGGGCTGAGGCCCTTCGGTGAGGAATTCCAAGACCTGTGCCAGGTGCTCAGGGAGTACAAAGGAAGCATGTGAGCCTCTGTCTTCAGGGTATTCGTATCCCTGTTGATGCACTGGATGCTCGGAGAATTTATTTTTAATTATCTTTTCTCCCCACTCATTGAAGCTTGGAATTACATAGCTGGAAGGGATCTTATAGGTGAGTCAGCTTCCTCATTTATTGGATTGCCCTCATTTTTCAAATGAGGAAACCAAGGCTCCAGTAGATTTTACCAAAAGTCACAGCTTGCAGATAGCAAAACATAGCCTTGATCCCAAGTCTAACCTGGTGTGAGCATCTGAAGTTTTCTGCACCACACTTCTCCCAGGTGACTAGTCTAACTTCATGGAGGGAATCCAGGCCTGGACTGGAATCTCAGCTCCTGACAGCCAGTGCAGTGCCCCAGCCCTGCCAGTTAGAGGTTACTCTAGGCAAGTTTCTTTAATGTCTCAAGCCTTTGTTTTCTCATATAGAAAAATGGTGAGAGATAAAAATGTGATGATTGTATAGTTCTGCGACTATATTAAAAACCACTGAATTGTTTGCTTTAAATGGGTAAATTGTATGGTATGTGAATTATACCACAGTAAAACTGTTAGGAAAAAAATCAGGAGAAATATTGTTCCTCTTCGGTCTTGTCTTGACATATGAGTACCCAGTGGCATAGGGAAATTTTCAACATCACTGTGGCAGGCAGAATAATGGTCCCCCTAAGATGTTCCTATTCTAATCCCCAGAATTTATGAATATGTTACCTTGCATGGCAAAAGTGATTTTGCAGATGTGAGAAATTAAGGATATCGAGGGGGAAAGATTATCTGAATTGTTTGGGTGGGCCCAATGGAATCACAAGGGTTCTTATAAAGGAAAGGGAGGCAGAAGAGCCAGAGAAGGAGATGTGATCAAGAAGCACAGATGTGGGACACCTGGGTGGTTCAGTTGGTTAGGCGTCTGCCTTCAGCTCGGGTCATGATCCCAGAGTCCTGGGATAGAGCCCCACATCCGGCTCCCTGCTCAACAGGGGGGCTGTTTCTCCCTCTCCCTCTGCTGTTCTCCTGCCCTCTCTCTGCCAAATAAATAAATAAAATCTTTTAAAAAGGGGGGCGCCTGAGTGGCTCAGTTGGTTAAGCGACTGCTTTAGGCTCAGGTCATGATCCCAGAGTCCTGGCATCGAGTCCCACATCGGACTCCCGGCTCAGCGGGGAGCCTGCTTCTCCCTCTGACCCTCTTCCCTTTCATGCTGTTTCTCTCTCTCTCTCTTTCAAATAAATAAATAAAAATATTTTTTAAAAAATCTTAAAAAAACACATACACAGCAATTCTAATGGGTTAAAAATTTTTTTAAAAAAGCACAGATGTATGTGAGAAACAGAGAAAGATTTGAAGATGTTACTGCTGGCTTCGATGATGAAGAAAAGGGCCATGAATCAAGCCAGAGAATACAAGAGGCTTCTGGAAGCTGGAAAAGGCAAGGAAGTGGGTTCCTGCCCATTAGAGTCTATAGAAGGAACACAGCTCTCGATTCTGGCCCAGAGGGACACATGTCAGACCTCCAGAACTCAAGATAATAAATTTGTGTTGTTTTAAGCCACTGTATTTGTGGTAATTTGTTAAAGCAGCAATAGCACTAAGAAATCAGGACAGTCACACAGCCAGAAAGTCAAAAAGTTGGGATTATGAATCCAGGTCTGTTTCCAAAGCCTCTGTTCTCTCTTCCCACTACCCTTTGCTTATAATGGGCCCAGCACACTCACCAACAGCCTGCTCCCTTCCCCTTTCCCTCTGTGCAGCACACCATACTGCCTCTAGAGAAGGCACAGACACTTCCACATGGATTTTTCCCCAACATTGTTTTTCTTGTGACTTCCGAACTAAAAAAAAAAAAGTACAATATACATAAAATGTACCATTTTAACTATTTTTAAGTGTACAACTCATTGCCATGAAGTACTTTCAAATGTTGCATAACCATCACCACTATTTCCAGAAAATTTTCATCATCCCAAACAAAGTTTGTACCCATTAGACAATAACTCCCCACTCCCTTCTCCTCTCAGCCCTTGGTGACCCCCAACATTTTATTCTGAAAATATTCCAACATATACAGAAAGGTTGAAAGAATTTTACAGTGAACACCCATATACCTGCCACCAAGTTTCTACAATTAATATTTTGTTGTATTTATCACATGTCTAGTCATCTGTCCATTTCAACATTCATGAATCTGTTATGCATTTTAAAGTTGTAGACAACAGGATATTTCCCATCTAAACACTTCAACATGCAGAGCATTAACTAGTTTATGCTTTTTTTCTTCCTGAAGTAGGCTCCATGCCCAACGTGGGGCCTGAACTCATGACCCTGAGATCAAGAGTTGCATGCTCTACCGACTGAGTCAGCCAGGTACCCCTATGCTTTATCTATCTATCTAAGAAATATTTTACTGATTTGAGAGAGAGAGGGCATGATTGGGGGAGGGGCAGAGGGAGAGGGACAAGCAGATTCCCTGGTGAATGAGGAGCCCTATGTGGGCCTCCATCCCAGGACCCTGAGATCATGACCCAAGCCAAAGTCAGATGCTAACTGAGCCACCCAGGCAACCCTATGCTTATCTTTTCTTTTTTATGCTTATCTTTTTAATGTAAACTTTACATATGGTGAAATGCACAACCCTTAGGCTTATCATGAGAAGAGTTTTAACAAATGCAAATATCAGTGCAGCCCACGCCCTTATCAGGATATAAACTCTGCTGTCCAATATGGTAGCCACTAGTCACATGTGGGTAATTTTAAATTCAAATTAATTCAAATTAAATGAAATTTTAAATCCAGTTTTTGAATCCCACTGGCCATACTTCAAATGCTCAACAGCCACATGTGGCTAGAAGCTACTGTATTGGACAACACAGATTTAGGACGTTTCCTTCATTGCACAAAGTTTTAAGAACATTATCATCACCTAAAAAGTTCCCTCATGTTACTTCCTACCTAGTCAATCCCCATCCTCAATCCTTAGGCAACTCTGCTCTGATTTTGTTTTCACCATAGACTTAGTTTGTTTTAAAATTTCTTATAAATGGAATTATACAATATGTATTCTTGTGTGTACAGGTTTCTTTCACTGAGCATGATTTGGGGATTCATCCATGTTGCTTTATCAGTAGTTGGTTCCTTTTTATTTCCGAATAGTAGTCCCTTTTATCAATATACTAGTTTATCCATTTTCCTATTGATGGATATCTGGGCTTTCTATGGATTTATGCTTTAATTTTTAAGAAATAGATACTTCAGGGGCGCCTGGGTGGCTCAGTCGTTAAGCGTCTGCCTTCGGCTCAGGTCATGATCCCAGGGTCCTGGGATGGAGCCCCATATCGGGCTCCCTGCTCAGCAGGAAGCCTGCTTCTCCCTCTCCCACTCCCCCTGCTTGTGTTCCCTCTCTCACTATCTCTCTCTCTGTCAAATAAATAAACAAATCTTAAAAAAAAAAAGTTAAAAAAAAAGAAAAGAAATACCTCAGTGAGAAATTACTGGGTCTTCAGTGGTGGCATAGTCTACTTAAGCCTCTGACTCTTGGTTCCCACCCAGGTCGTGATCTCAGGGTAGTGGGATGGAGCCCCAAGTCTGGCTCCATGCTCAGTATGAGTCTGCTTAAATTTCTCTCTTCCTCTCCCTCTGCCCCTCACCCCTGCGCTCTCTCTCTCTCAAATAAATCTTTAAAAAAAATTGCTGGATCATTGAATAGGTGTACATTTAGTTTTATGTGAAACTACCAGAGATTTTTCCAAACTGGTGGTTTGTAGGAGTAGCAACAATGAGTCCTTATAGTGAAAGGAATAGAACGAATAACTGGACACGGCTTAGCAGTCGAGTAACGGTCCTCAGGCTCCGCCCTCTTCCCCGTCCCAGCGCCGCGGTCCAGTCAATTAGGTCCTGATTGGTCCGTGGAGGAGGCAGGCGGAGCCAGAGGGATTTCACGTCTGGGGCCGGACTTCCTCCTTGCCGGCTTTGGGCTGTCTTTGCCATCCTCCGTTCTGCTCAGTGCTGCCAGGGCAGGGTCAATTAGAAAAGAAACTCAGCACTGCTCCTGGATCTCTCACTTAACCCCAAGCCTGGTTTTAACGCAAGCTCTCAGGAGGAATGAGTTTTCATCATGAAGTTTCCTCCTCAAGAACGCTTTCCATAAGTCATGTGCTCTCTTTCACCGGTGGTCTCAATTATAATCGCCTCATTAATAAAAACCAACATTGACATTAATAGCACAGGACTGGGCGGTTTACAAAATGCGTTTTCGTCCGTAATCTCATTTGATATTTAAAAGAACCTTTACAGGGGCGCCTGAGTGGCTCTGTCGGTTAAGCATCTACCTTCTGCTCAGGTCATGATCCTGGAGTCTCAGGATCGAGCCAGCCCAGGGTCAGGCTTCCTGCTCAGTGGGGAGTCTGTTTTTACCTCTCCCTCTGCTCCTGCCCCTGCTCGTGCTCTCTCTCGTGCTCGCTTTCTCTCTAATAAATAGAATCTTCAAGAAAAAATAAAAGAGCCTTTACAGCCCTAACTTACAGGGACAGTCTTGTAGAGATGCTGAAAGGGTCTTCCAGCTTCCAGAGCACTTCTTCACCTGGCATTGCTTCATCACCAGGTAGCAAACACTCATTTTATTAAACCTCTGGTACAGGTGACCCTCCCTCCTTGGAATCCTCTCTTCTCTTTCCACAACACACTTCCCTTGTTTCTTCATACTTACTCGCTGCTCCGTATGGGTCTTCTTTGCTAGCCCTTTTTCCCCACTGAGACCTCTCAATGTAGGAGGACTTTCTCTCTTTTTTCTTTTTCTTCTATCTTTTCCAATCCCATAGCTTATCAGCTGCATGCTGATTCCCAATATTATATCTCTAGCCTACCTTTCTCCCCTGAACTCCAACTCTGTCTCCATTTGTCCTGATATCACCACACAGATACCTAGCAGGCATGTCAAACTCACTTTCTCCAGAACAGGTTTTAATCTTCTCCAACACCATATAAACCTGTTTTTCTCCTGTCTTCCTCTCAGTAAATGCACCACCATTTGTAGCTCAGGTTAAAAAGCCACATCATGGGGCGCCTGGGTGGCTCAGTCGTTAAGCGTCTGCCTTCGGCTCCGGTCATGGTCCCGGGGTCTTGGGATCGAGCCCCGCATTGGGCTCCCTGCTCCACGGGGAGCCTGCTTCTCCCTCTCCCACTCCCCCTGCTTGTGTTCCCTCTCTCACTTTGTCTCTCTCTGTCAAATAAACAAATAAAATCTTAAAAAAAAAGAGCCACATCATATTCCTTTTTTTTTTTTTAAAGATTTATTTATTTGACAAAGAGAGAGAGCACAAGCAGGAGGAGTGGGAGAGGGGAGAAGCAGGCTCCCACCGAGCAGGGGGCCCAACATGGGGCACGATCCCAGGATCCTGAGATCAGGACCCAAGCCAAAGGCAGACACTTAGCCAATTGAGCCACCCAGGGACCCCAAAAAACCTACATCATAGTCTTTTTTTTAAAAGATTTTATTTATTTATTTGAGAGAGAGAGAATGAGAAATAGAGAGCACGAGAGGGAAGAGGGTCAGAGGGAGAAGCAGACTCCCTGCTGAGCAGGGAGCCCCACGTGGGACTCGATCCTGGGACTCCAGGATCATGACCTGAGCCGAAGGCAGTCGCTTAACCAACTGAGCCACCCAGGCGCCCTACATCATATTCCTGATTCCTTCTTTACTTACCACATCTAATCCACTATCGAAACCTATTGTTTCTGCCATTTTGGATCATTCCCTCCATCCCCACCCCACAACCTAGAGCTAGTAGCCTGTCTTCTCTCCCTGGATTGTAGCAGGAATTCTCCTAATGTCACTGGCTTCCTGGCTTCCACTCTAACCCCCTACAATTCAATCCTTTCTCCAAATAGCAGCAGATAGGATCTTTTCAAACATACAAACACATTTTGCTACTTTTAAGCCCTTGATGCCTCTCTAGGCAATTCCTCTTAGAATAAAATCCATAGTCCTTACCACAGCCTGAGACCAACTCCCTCCCTTCCTTCCACTGTGAACTCAAGTCTACCACTTTCTTCCTTTACTCACTATGTCTCTGTCACACTGGCCTCCTTGGTGCTCCTTGTACCCCCCAGAGCCCATCCCTATGCCCAGGTCTTTGCACTAGTTTTTTTTCCTCTGCATGAAATACCTTCCTCCAGGGTGCCTGGCTGGCTCAGTCTGGAGAGCATATCACTTGATCTCGGAGTGGTGAGTTCAAGCCAGAAGTTGGGGGTAGAGTTTACTGAAAAAGAAACAGGGGCGCCTGGGTGGCTCAGTCCATTGGGCGTCTGCCTTCAGCTCAGGTCATGATCCCAGGGTCCTGGGATGGAACCCTGCGCCGGGCTCCCTGCTCAGCGGGGAGTCTGCATCCTCTCCCTCTGCCGCTCCCCCTGCCTGTGCTCGCTCTGTCAAATAAATAAATAAAGCCTTAAAAATAATAATAAAAATATTTGTTAGAAAGAAAAAAAGAAGAAATACCTTCCACCTCACTCTTTGTGTGGCTGTTTCTGTCTCATCTTTCAGGTCTCAGCTGAAATATCCATATATTTACATATATTGTGAAATGATTACCACAGTAGGTTTAGTTAACATCCACCATCTCATATAGACCCATTAAAAACAAAAGAAAACACATTTCTCCTTGTGATGAGAACTCTTAGGATCTACTCCCCTAAAATCTTCTGTGTATATCATAACAGTGGTACTAACTATAGTCATCATGTTGTACATTATATCCTAGTACTTATTTACCCTATAACTGGAAGTTTGTACCTTTTAACCACTTTCCCCCAACCTCCCCTCCCCCCTTACTGTTTTTTTTTTTTTTAAGACTTTATTTATTTGAGAGAGAGAGAGTGAGCAAGTGAGAGAGAGAGCACAAGCAGGGGGAGAGGGAGAAGCCGACTCCCCACTGAGCAGGGAGCCTACCCTCAATCACTCCAGCCCTTCCTCTGGGAAGCAGCTCTCACTGCGCACTGTGTACTCTTTCAGAGCCCTTCTAAGGACTTGTCTGCCCTCTTACTGGCTCTGCAGCCCTCCAAGGCAGGGCCCAGATCTGTGTGGGCTGGTCATACAATGCTGCCAAAACACTTAGTAGAGAGCACTGACTCTGCAGTCAGGCGAGGTTCGAATCCTTGCACCACCACTCACCAGTCAAGGGACCTGAAACAGGCCTAAGCCTTAGAGTCAAGATCTGTTCAATGAAGATAACAATTGAATCTATCTCATGGGTCATTATCCACTTTTGTGAAGATTAAATGAGGTACACGTGAGGAGCTTAGTACAGTGAACAGATGACAGAGGCTCCCTAAATTCTTTTGAGTGAATAAATGCCAGGATGAAGTATTGGAAAGCACCCCACTTCAAAGTCCCTCAATAAGTTGTGTTGATAAAATGGTGTACCTGCAAAACAGACTCCATCACGTCCACAGCGAGAAACTTTCAATGACTTCCCCTTGCCCTGAGGTTAAAATACAGTCCTCTCAACACAGCCTTCAAGGCCCTTTCTACACTGAGCTGTGTGCTTCTCCAGCCTGGCTGCCCTACACACACACACTATACAGTTTCATGCCTCTTTGCCGTGGCTCTGCTCTCCCCTCTGCCTAGAAAGCCCATCTTGCCCCTTTGTCCCAGTCTGGTGCTCTTCCTATATACATTTAACCCTCACTTTTAACGTATGGTTTTCTCATCTGTTTACATGTCTTTCTCTCCTGATAGAGAACCGGGCCATTATCTTCCAGCCATTAGTGTAAGGACTGACAAACAAGGCGAATAAAATATTTGGGCTGAATGAACACAGTGGTGTGGAGGCAACAACTAGAGGCCAGTATGGGCTGGGATGGGGAAACTGATGCCAAAGTGGTTGTCAGTGGCTCACCCCCAAAAGTGATGGAGCTCGCTGGATGTGAAAACTGACCTTACCCCACCCTAACCATGAGCTCTTTTGTGCAACAACATGAATTCCCCAGGGTCTCTGGTCTCCTGCAGGTGGAATCTGTTTCCAGATACAGGATCTTCTGAGTCCTCAGGCATGAGGTGCCCAGCTCTGGAGAGGGAGTAAACCAGTATAAACCATACTGAGGGAATAAAACCATGGGGTGGCTCCAAGAGGTTGCCACATACATTGACTTTCTCAGATCTTTTAAGATGAAGGAACCCAGGCCCAGGCATAAAGAAAAAGTAGACCCCCATCTTCCTCCCCCATGGGCTACCCTTTCCCATGCAGGGGTGTAAGTGGCTTAGGGGCCTGAGGGCCAGCAGAAGGCAGTGAAAGGGGAACTTGATCAACTGGTGCAGCTGCTGCTATAGCAGCCAGAGCCAAAGGAGGTCACCATTGATCCCAATACACTTAATTCTTCCTGCTGAAGCAAGCTTGGGCAGGGTTGGCTAGGAGAGCTGCGAGGGAAGGGGCAGGGATTGTGCTGGAAGCTGGGATGTAGCCAGTCACTTTCTCTCTCTGGGCCTCTGTTTCTCCAAATGTAAAATGAGGGCCCACGGTGTTAACACTCCACTTCCAGCAAGGCTGTCGAGGCTGCAAGATCACCGCTGGATAGGGGTGGGAGGTGGAGGGTGGCCCTCAGATTATAGGAACCAGGGAGAAGAGCTCTGTGCAATGTCCAACGAGGGCAGGAGAACACTGCTTTTGGGGACCCCTGAGAACTAGAGGTAACCCTCCCTCCCCCCCAAGGGACCCTGAAGTCCAGATTCCCAGCCCCAAGTCTTCCCGTTACCCGATTACCGGGACCCGAAGCGAGGTCCAGGCCCGGCCCTTCGAGGAGATTCCTGGGAGAAGAGGACCAGGTTGTCGCCACTGCCCCAGCGTCGGGGAGGAAAGAGGAGGAGCCTCTTGGTGCCATCTCTGGGCCGCCCAGGACCGCATGGGCCAGTCCCGCAACCCCAGCCCTCTCGGGTCTGCAAACCTCAAAGGCGCAAGCCGCCAGCGCCTCGGGCGTTCGCTGGTCCTGCCCCACCCTGGTCCCGCCCTCGGGCCCCGCCCGCGTCCCTCCCGTCCGCCTCTGGCCGGAAGCCCCCTCCCCCTCCCTCCGCCCTGTCCCCCGCACCCTCTGTCCCCTCCCAGTCCATCTCCCTCAGCGGGTCGGGGAAACCTCTTTCCGCCCTGTCCCTCCCCCTTCCTCCGTTCCGGCTCCTCCGTCCAGTCCCCTAACTCAAGCCCGGCCCCGCCCAAGCTCCGCCCCCAGCCCCGGCCCCGCCCCTCCGTTTCCCGCCCGGACCCCGGACCTCCCAGCCCCGCTATTTCTTTCCCCCGGCCCCGCCCCTTGGCCCCCGGAAGCTTCTCCCCGCCCCCAACCCCGCCCCCCCGAAGTTTCTTGGGCCCCCGGCGGCCCGCGGGACAGAACGCAAAGAGCCGCCGCCCGGCCGGGTGTGGATGGAGGTGGTGGAGCCCGCGCGGCGCGCGGAGTGAGCGGCGGAGCGGCGGGACTTCAGCGGACTCGCGATGGAGGAGGAGGTGAGGGCCGGGCCAGGCGGGGGGCCGGGGCTGGGGTGTTGAGCCCCTCACTTTTGTTGGGGTCGCAGGCTCAGGCCCTTGGTCCAACCAGCCGCTCTCCCGCCGGACTGCCGACACCCAATCGCTACCCCACCCCCATTCCCCCGGGCAGAGCCCAGGTCGATGGAGCAGGGGCTAGGGTTCCGCGTCCCGCACTTCGCAGACCCACCCTCCTTCGTTATCTCCTGTCTTCTCTCACCAACTGTGGGCATCGCGGTGGTTACTGTTCCCATTGGATTGACGGAGAGACTGAGGCTCTGGTCAGTTAACGACTCGCTGAAAGTGGCTTGGGTTACTGGGCTCGAACGCGGTTACCGTTGACACCCCGTGCTGGCCAGGTCTGATCCTGAGGAGGTAGACCGAGTGTGTGTGGGGGGGTCTGTGTGTTTCGGAGTCCCTTTCTCAAGGAATCTTGAGGCCGTGACCGTGTCTGGTGGTGAAAACTGGAGAAGTTGCGTTTTTTTCCCCTCTATAAGGCCCTGGGATCCTCTTTCCCGAACGCTCTCTCTTGCTCCGGAGTCAGGCCCGCATAGGGGCTCATCCTGGCCCCTGCCTTGCCCACCTCCCTGGGAGGGCCAACTCCCTGGAGGAGCTGGGAGACTGGACCAGCAGTGCCCCTTGAGCTTCCCTCTTCTCCCTCAGGACCCTATTGGTCTGGAGTAGGGTCAGGCACTGGCCCCATCATGGAAGCACACAGTGAGCACTTAATGTATACCTGTGGAATGAATAAATTAGAGCCAGGATCTGCTGAGTCTCAAGGACTTTGCTTCTTGTCCCCTGAGGGAGGTCTCAGCTTTTGCCCCTCCCAGCCCAAGGGAAGGGGAGGTGTCTGTCAGGGTGGGTGGAGAGGAAAGAGGAAACCTTCACTGTTTGGGCAACCCTGGCCAGCTGGGGAGTCCTTGGTGTACCAGGCTGTCTGTGTCCCCATCAGTGTCCAGCTCCCTACTCCCCAGGGCCACTGTCTGTCAGGGTTCCCTCCAGGCCAGGCCCTGCATTTCTGTGGGATGGTAGATAAGTCACTTCCCCTCTCAGCGTGCATTTCCTCTTCTATAAAATATAGGGCTTGGCCTCCTCCCCAGGTCTTGTGTGATTGTGTCCCCTTCTCTCAGAGTGGGTGGAAGTAGGGGGCAAAGTCAGGCCACTGATTTGCTGTGGTTTCTTGCTGACAGGGGTGGGGCTGCCCTCCCCCACTCTAGGCCCCTGCTGTGAGGGTTGGACTGTCTGGTTGTGGCCCCTCCCCTTCTCCCAGAGGATGTGGGACAAGATTACTCCATCTCCTGATCTGCTCTGGCCCCCAATTAAGGGAAGTTCTCCTGGGGCCTCCTGGGCTGATGGTTTGTCTCGTGGCCAGCCCATCCCAGCCCAGCCCTGCGCTCCCTCTGGTTCTGAGTTTCTAGCTTTGCCACTTAAACTGACTCCCATTTGCCAAGAGCTCCCCACATACCTGAGCCATCTAAGGTCTTGCCCACCTCCTCCCCACACAGCCAGGGGCTCCCTATCTCCTACCTCCCCTTAGGCATCCCTAATTCTTTTCCTCCCATTTCTTCTAATCACTTTAATGTAGGTCTCAGTGCCCATCTTTGTTTCTCTAAAACACCTCTTAGATCATAGTCACCTGCTCTGCCCCATGACCTCAGGCTGACCTCATCCCCTCACCTGGCTGTTTTTTAGCCCTCCCCCGAGCTTAGAGCTTTCTCCCTGTGCCCCAGCTACCCTGGTGCCAAGCCCCCTCAGCTTCAGTGGCCTCCTCTGTGGAATAGCTTGGTAGTCCTCCTCAGTCTGAGGCTTAGTGAGGAAGTGCAGGTCTGGGCACTGGGCATTTGTCCACTTGAGTTCTCAGGGCCTCAGTTTCCCCATCCATAAAATGAGGGAGGTGGGCAATCCACAAATGTGATTGATATACATGCAAAAGCTTCGAAAGCTGCAAATATCGTGGGATATTGTTGCTGCCACTGGAGTAAGGTTAAAAACCCCAAACCTAGGCTTTCTTTCCTGTCTCTGCCCTGGGGTCCTGCCCCCCCCCCCCCCCCTTCCCTCTCATAGTCATGCCTTTCCCTGGCTCAGCCTCTGGGGGCTCCAGGCTGCCCATTTGCCCATATCCATCTAGACAGAGGCAGGGCAGTGTCCTGTCCCAGTTCTGGTTTTGTGACCTTGAGCTAATCTCTTGCCCTTTCTGGGCTGTACTTTCTCATTCAATAGTGAGGGGGTCTCAAAGACCTTACATGTCCTTCCTTCTCCTCTGGGTCAAGGTGTGTGTCTCTTTCCATTCTCACTCTCCTACTAAAACCTTAGCTTCTCCAAGGGCTTCCCAAACTAACCCCAAGCCCTTACCCCACCAGAGAGCTAGGGCTGAGGTTTCCCTCCGGGTAGGTCCTGTGTTCTCCCAAAAGGCTGGGGCGCTCGAAAGCAGGGGATACCCTCCCCACCTCCACACTGAAGACTCCCTGTGCAGGGTCTGTGTTGCCCTCATCAGATCGGAAGTTCCCTCCTGGCAGAGCCTGTGTGTGCTTCCTCTCTGGTTACCCCCATCCCAGCCTCTGACACGGTGGGTTCTTAGAAGAGTCTGGTCAGCATATCATTGTGTTTAGTCCAAGGGCAAAGGTGATAAGCTCTCTGTGATGTAGGGTGCCATCAAGGTTTCTTCTGCTCGTCTCTGTCTATCATGGCCTGTGTTGTGGCTTTCCACCTGTTCCCTTCTGTGCACAGGGTTAGGATGACCTGGCATCTTTTTTTTTTCTTGAATGACCCAGAGATTCCCCCCACCTCAGGCAAAGGGGAGTCAGGCTGGTGCTCAGGGATGCCTCAGGAGCTGCTCACAGTGGGCAGGGAAGGGTCTGAGTGAGGATGGGTGGGAAGAGAGAGGGCGAAACAGGAAGAACAGTGGTCAGCTGGTCAATAAGAGGAGAGGAGGCCGAGAAACTGGGCTGAGCAAGACAAAACCTCCCCTGTGAGCCCTGCCAAGGGGAGGGGCCACTTACTAAAACTTACTGGGGCATAGCCAGGCCCCTTGGTAGGAGTGTCTGAGGCGCAGGGAATGGGGCAGAATGGAGGGTGGTAGGCAAGCAGGACTCTGGCCTCCAGCCAGGCCTCCCTTTTGGGAGGCTGTTGCTGAGGCTGATTCCTGACAAGAAGACCCTTCCCTGGGCTTTGGTTCATGCCCCCTCCAGCCCCTCCATTGTCACTCCCCCCATCCCCAAAGTAACTTCTCTCCTCAATTCCATCCTGTTGCCACCCATCCCTGAAGGCCCTGGACTTGCTTCTTTAGCTCGCTCAGTCATGGTGTTCACTGGGCACTGTTCTCTCTGCTACACCCCGACAGGACAGCGGTTAAGGCACAAGCTCCCAGTCTTGCCCCTCGGGAGCTTCCAGCTGACAGGAAGTTTTCACATATCAGATAGTGGGTGAGGCAGGCAGGGGAGGTCACAAAGGGAGAGAGGTTAGAAAGGGGTGTGCGATCCCATGGGGTGGTGCGTGGGCCGCTGAAAAGCAGGAGGCAAGCTTGGAGCTCTGCAGTGGGAGACGGGGCAGCAGCTTCACGTTCTGCAGTCCCTACTGCTTTGAGAGAGACCGAGAGTCTGCAGGCCTAGGAGGTGGCCAACAGCACTGTAGTTGCTGATGGAGGGGTGTGAAGTGTGGGATGGGGTTTCCCATCTCTCACTTCTCTTCTGGCCCCGGGCCCAGGCCAGCCTGTAGGGCTCACTGAGGGGGATGAGGCCCCTGCTGGTCATGTGGCTAATGGGGGCTGAACACAGGGTCTCAGGTGCTGGGGGTGGTGCATGATCGGATGTGAAAGGGTTGAAGGGTGCTGAAGTCCCCTCTTTCCCTGGTCAGGGTGGCTCATAACTGGCCCATAGGCAAGTCTCCCACTTCCTCATTCCTCCGTCCAGGAAGACCCTTTGGGACCGTCTCACTCCCCCATTCTTCCTGCCTTCTACAAGTTAGGGAGAGGTGATGAGGGGCACCCCACATTCCTGGAGCTTCTGGGGGTACTGAAGCCCAGCAGCTAAGCCCAGAAAGGCCTTCTCCTAAATTCTGAACCAGGCCGGGGGCAAGGGTCCCTGAGAGCCAGAGGGAATGCCAGTGACAACAACAATGACAATGATAGCTACCAATTCCTAAGTTTAGGGTATTCTAGGCACTGCTTTATATGCCGTATCTTTATTCAACATTTATTGAGCACCTCCTGTATGCCAGATGCTGTCTAGGCCCTGGGGATATTGCAGTAAACAAAGCAAAAATCCTTGCCCCCATGGAGTTAAAATCCTTGCAACCTCTGGTATATCTCCATTTCTTAGATGAAGAAACTAAGGCTTAGAGAGATTAGAGTGGCTTGCCTCCGGTCTGTGTGACTTGGGCTTCAAAGCGGACTCTCAACCACAAGAGTGTGCAGTTCAGAGGGGCGGGGCCGCCAGGCTGGGGCTCCCCTGCCAGGATAGAGAGCAAGGA